TTCAAAACATATGGCTACATATAAAAAGCAAATTAGAGCATTTTCCATTTCCATATCCTCTAAATAAGCCCCAGGAACTCAAAGAAAGCTTCTCAATATTTTAACACTGTCTCCCTCTGCTGTATGAAAAAGGAAATTTTTCCCAATTTCATGAAGATAGCTAATTTAAAAAAATTGTTTCACAATTGGTTTCCCATAAAATATATTTTAGTGGTGTCAGGACAAATAAAACAACCATCCTTTTCTATTTTCCTTTGGAGATCACAACACTCCATTTTTTTAATCTAGAACTTAGAAAAGCCTAGCAAACAAGCTCTCACTTTGACAGTAAGGAGTCACAGTGTTCCATTCCTTCTAGGTCAGGTTGAAAATTTAAGTATCTATGTCAGCAGTTCTCAACATGTGTGTCGTGACCCCTTTGGGGGGATCAAATGACCCTTTCACAGGGGTCACCTAAGACCATCGGAAAACACGTACATATTTCACAATATAAAATTTCATATTGTTTTGTGATTAATCACTATGCTTTAATTATGTTTAATTTGTAACAATGAAAATACACCCTACATATCAGGTAGTTAGATTACAATTCATAACAGTAGCAAAATTACAGTTATGAAGTAGCAACAAAAATAATTTTATGGTTGGGGGTCATCACAATGAGGAACTGTATTAAAGGGTCGTGACATTAGGAGGGTTGAGAACCACTGACCTCTATGAACCTGGAGAAGGAAGTTCAGAAACCTTGATGTTTCTGATCTATAAAATAAAGAATAAGAATACTTTCCCTGGCAACTTTCTAAAAAGTAAACAAATAAAATATAATTTAGATTCATTCACTTATAATTATTCGTGAGAAGTCACGGATATACAAAGCAGCAGACCTACCAAATTTAGCAAATGAAAAATTACAGCAAGGAATATATAAAAAATACAGCAAGGAATATATACTAAAATACAAAGTAACCTAGCATCCTGTATTTCATCAAGCAAATCTTATCAATGTTGCCCAGTCAATCCCAACTCAGTGACCTCATAAAGCAGAACTGCCCTGTGGGGTTTCTGAAGTTGTTAATCTTTATGGGAATAAGAAGCCTCATCTTTCTCTCATAGAGTGGCTGGTGGGTTTGAACCACCAATCTTAAGGTTAGCAACACAATGCTTAACCCACTATGCCACCATGGTTCATTAGCAACCTTAACTGGGATACATAGAAGGACACAAATTAGACACTTCTTTTCCTTGAATGACTTACATAAAATACTCTATATAAACAACTGCTATTCAAGGAAGAAAAGCGACTATGAAGCATTTCTAAAAAGGGGAAAGGGCACCATAAGAACATAATAAAGAGAGTAGAAGGAGTTGGTTAGGAGCAACAAGATCTCTTCAGATAAAAGAATAAAGAACCAAGGTATGACAAAGTGTTTACTTACAGCACAAATTCTAGTCAGTGATGTATATTATACACTTCTTCCAACACACAAATTCTTAATGGATTTATCATTTATTCACTCAAACCAGTTTATAATTATGTGACTTCAAATGGACATGCATTAACAAATTAATGATAGAAACATAATCTGAAAATTCCAACCTCATAAACTTATGACCAATTGCACTCAATTATTTTACTTTTGCTCTGATTAAGCAAATTCTATACTATGTGGACAGGTATTATAACAGAACATCCCGAGTAGATTTTACTCTTTTTCTTACTACATTCAACTCTCAGGAAGAAGCTGCTTCACAGCACTACCTAATTCCTAAAGGCAGGGTTGGGGTAACATGAGAAAAATGCAGATTCTTTTAACTCAAGGAAAACAAATGTACTGTTTATTTTACTTTCCACATCCTGTTCCAACCCTCTCTTCTCTCTGTAAGCCCTATTACCATTCTTTCTGACATAGGTCAACATAGGTGCTGTTCTGTAACAGAACTGTGGGGGGAGGTCAGATGCGCAGGCATTCCCCCCCTGAAGGCGATCAGTTGCCAGAGTGCACTGGGCCTGCTCCCTGCTGCTGGAGACAATGGACTACTTCTCTCTGAAGCTTGGGACCATTAGCTTGGTTCCTGTAGGAGGGGTTTACACCCTACTGATAATGGTTCCTATGGAGACCCAGGGACAGGTCCAAGTTAATCTGCCATCCTAAATCTAGGATCCGCCCATCTTGCCACATGTATACCCCCAATCCCTCCTTCCTATTGCGTGTATGTCCCTAGACCACCCCCTCTCATTACCGTATAGTGCAACCCCTTCCTGTGATGTATGTCTTCACCTGTAATTAGGGGGCTTGCACTTCCCCAGAGAGGATAAAAGCTTGGGAAGCATTAAAGTTTCTCTCTCTCTACCTGGTGGCTCCCCTCTCTTCCCCATCTCCTCTCCAGTCCTCTCTCCCTTGTTCCCTTTCCTGTCCTCCTTACCCTCTCTCTCCCTCCACTTGGACCACCAAGCAGGGCTGAAGTGAGCAATGCTACCATGTAACAGTCTGACTCCATTTATTTCTATATATCTCTTTTATCTCTCATGCTCTCTATAACTTTATTATAATCTTTACTTATTACCGCTGTACAATTGCACCTACTGGACCTGTGATGTTTTGTGGGAACCCCTCTCCCCTTAACCCCACACAGAACAATTCATATGTTCTTAAGAGTCAAACTCAACAGTCAACAGCATCATGTATTATAGAAAATGTGTTCAGAGGAGGTGTAATAATGGAAAACATCTACTTATTAGGGTCCTGGTAGATTTCACAGAGTTCCTAGCCACAAGGTCAGCAGTTCAAAGCTACCAGCAGCTCTGGTGGGAGAAAGACAACGTTGCACCTATAAAGATTTAAATGTCTCTGAAAACCCAAAGGGGCAATTCTACTGTGCTATGTAAGTCAGAATCAATTCGATGGCAGTGAATTTGGCTTTGTGTCTTTTTCTGTTTATATGGTTCATTATTATTAAGTCATTTGAACATAGTATACCAAAACCACACCTAAACCCAAGCCTACTGTGTCTCTGAGTCAATTCTGATGCAGAGCATCCCTGATATAAGGTTTCTGAGGCTATATTTCCTTGAGGGAGCAGACCTTTCTCCTGTGGAGTGGCTAATGGATTTGAACCACTGTTCTTGTGCTTACCTGACTATACCAAGGCTCCTCATTCAGTATATACCATCACACACTTGTACAGTTGAAAAAGGTTTCAGAGTTCAGTTAGCTCACAACCCTCATTTTACAGATGCTACAAATAGGGAGCTACAATCTCATTGTTTCATCTTATTGACTGTAATGTCACTAGTTTAAACTTAGAGGGCGAAGAACCAAAAGTCAGATTTTAAAAATATCAACTTACTGTATTTATAGTAAATTAAACTAAAACAGCATCTTTTGACTGATATTTAAAATATCCCCTAAATTATCATTTTATTCAACATTTTTACTTTTCAAAATAAAAGAATCTATAAACTAAAATATTTAAGCCACAACTTAAATTATTACTCCCACATAATAAACTAAGCCAAAGTTCAGCTGAACTAAAAATGAAAAAAAAATTTTTTAATTGTAATTTGCCTTTTTAAACTCTGAGGTAGGGTGAGAAAAGTATTTGTGTATCATTAGAATCACATCTTAAAGGATGCACAATTTTCCCTTTTAAAAATATATTTACTAAAAATATATTAATCTTTTAACAAGTATACAAACAACTCAGGCTAAGTAGAATTGTACATTCCTTTGTCCTAGAGCTTTGGGGAGTAAGCAAACAAACAAAAAACTCAAAGCTACTGTTAACTTGATGAACATAATAAAAGTGAACTGTATATATAAAGATTGCTGACATAACAAATGTTACATATTAGCAATGATTTTTTAGTTGGAAAAAAAGTGCTTATTTTTATAATTTATTTGCATCATATTTAAAGATATATGCCTGAAAAAAATCCAGTTCTTTTAAAATTGTTTTTATTGTGAAATGACAGGAAGTTTATAGAGCAGATCCATTTTTCATTCAATATATCATACACATTTCGTTTCATCTCATTGATTATAATCTCTAAAGTAAAACATCAATTATCCCACTTCCTCTGTTGTTCCCCCATTTCTACTCCTCTTGATTTACTAACCCTTCTGATCTCTGTCCTGGGGTAAATGGTGCCCTTTTGATCACAAATGGTTGATTATTCCTGCCTCCCTAGTGTTAATGTTTCCCTTTAAAATCTATCTATTGTTTGGCAAAGCTGAGCCATGGGGCTGAGTTTATTTCCAGCCCTAAAGGGTGACTAAGGGCCAGAGGCTCAGGGGTTCTACTGGGCTCTAGCCGAGTAAGGATTCTCTTATGATTCTGAGTTTTGTTTCACATGTTTCTTCTACTCTATCCACAACCTTCTCACGTGATCCTTTGAGAGCAGTTGGCAGTAGTAGCTGCTGGACACCATCTAGTTCTGGTCTCAGGGTATGGAGACTGACATTCAAGTAGCTCATTAGTCCATCAGACTAATTGTTTCTTGTGTCTGTGGTTTTCACCACCCCTCTTTCCACCAGACAGGAGAGGCCAGTCGTTGCCCCTTAGTTGGCTGCTCATGAGCTTTTAGGAGGCCAGTTGTTATTCACTTAGTCACTAAAGCAGGATGTAGAACATTGTCTTTCTGGATTATGCTGGCCTAGGTAGGCATCTCCTGAGACTATGGTCCTGAGCTCTGAGGCCCAGCAACTCATTCTCCTCCCTCCTCAAGGGGTTTGGCTAGGCCTAACAAGTTTTCCTAACTCTGCCCCCTACATGTTCCACCACATTCATGAATGTATTTGCAGCCAAATTAAATCCCCATGTACAAATCTCCTCTGTCAAACATATATATGTGTACGATGACCTTCCCTCTCATACATGTTCAGCCTGTGGGTCCACCGTGCACCTAGCCACACTACTTTTAAGCTTATAATCACACAGATTAAAATATTACTAAAACCAAAAATATGTAGTGTTAAAATGTAATTTAAAAAACATATTACCTTTGTTGAAAGCACTTTAAATGTGCTCTGTTCTGGTAGTATAGGATGAAGAAGTCTCAGTTTCCAATTGTAATCCTCTCCAGAAGGAAGTTTCACCAAAGCACACAGCTAGTGAACATAACATTTCATTTTGTAAATTTATACAATGAAGTAAAATACTTAAGCTTAATAAAATTCTAAGTTTCTCTTGCTATCCTAAATTAAGAGTGGTCTTCTATACTCACCTCACAAACACTCCTCATATCCAGTGTCTGGAGTGATGTGTCATTTAAAACTTTGATGATGTGATCACTGCAATTGCCTTATACCCCAGGGGGATGATTGACAATGTTTTATTTTTTTGTTTCTTAAGGGTTGTTTTTTTTTTCCCTACCTTTAGTTTGTTTGTTTTTGTTTGTTTGCTGGTTGGTTGGTTTGTGGTTTTGATTATTTACGACCACCAAAGTAAACCTGAGTCCTGCATATCCCATGGACAAGCAGATAGATTCTGGTCTCCCACTTAACTCTAAGCCCAATCCAAGTTCTGATAACATGGCCCTGCTCCACACTCATCTTCATGAAATGATCACGGAAGATAAGGGTGCTACAGCAAAGTGTGAAGAAAGCAGATGGTACCCGGCTATCAATCAGAAGAGTGTCTGGGGTCTTAAAGGCTTGTATTCAAACAAACACCCATCTCACTGAGGAGTTAACTAAATCCACAGGGAAGAAGCACACCAGCGTGTGTGATCCAAAGATGACAATAACAAAATTCAAATATGACAAAGGGAAAAGTATCAGAGCTTCAATTGTGAACACCCAATTTGTGGAAGGCTATGGAAAACAGTGGGAGCCCAAAATTTATCTACAGAGTAGCTAGTCAGAATAAACCACTGGCAGATCCCCTCTAGCCACAGGTAAGGGTGTCCGACAGCTTTACTATCAGATAGAGATCACTGTAATCTGGATTACGCTGGACCTTATGTGACCTCCCTCGAGACCCAACCTGAATTTGTTCTAGGTGCAAGTATTTCTTGCTTGTTCCATGACAAAAATTTCTTCCCTGGCTTTTTATTGATGATAGTCTTCTTTCTTACTCAGCATTTGTATTTTTTATCTTCATATTATTATTTTTATTTTACCCTTTCCATGTTATTTCGCTGTTGTTTTTATTGTTTCTGTTGGGTTTCCAGTTTGTGATGCACAGAAGGGGTGGATGCATCCAGATAAGAACTGACACAAGGGTCTATAGGGGATATAGCGGTGTGGGGTGAGAGACAGGGAGAGGGGATTTAGGGAGCAAACAATGTATGTGGGAGGGAGGAGGGAGCACTAGAACTGATTGTGATTACACAACTCATTTTAAAAGTGATTTAACCATGAAAAAAAGAAAATGTTCTAAAATTGATTGTGGTTGGTAATGATTGTACAGTTCTTCCTAATATGACTGAACTACCGAATTACATGACATGTGGGTTATGTGCCAATAAAACGGGGAAAAAAAGGAATTGTACACAGCCACACACAATAAATAACTAAATAACAAAATAAATTAAGAGTGTTCTTATTGAACCAAAATGGCATAAAGCATAGGAGCAATAGAAATTTACATGGAAACAATTTATGAGAGTTTCCAAACCCAAAACTAACCTACCAAGTCAATCAAACAACACATGAAACCTAAACTAACACTAATACACAATGTTTGCATGCACAGCTCAATGTAGTGGTAGCACTGCTTGGGGTGGTGCTGCCAAACTAACACGAGCTTGATACTACTTTCAATTTTTGTAAAAGCAAAATCCTCTCCGTATTTCATTCAGTTACTGAAAACAGGTAAAAGCAAAGTGATGTAAAGCATATTTTCAAAATGAAGGGGATGACTGCATAGACTTTCAATAGTATTAGAGCAGAGTTGAAATACTGTAGATGAGCATTTCAGATTTAAGATGAGGACCTCAAAGAATTTCTATTTTCCATTTGATATCTTTCACACAGACTTTTATAACAAAAAGCGGAAGAGAAAACATTTCACAAAACACCTATTTGGGGCTTAAATCTCAAAGAAACTCTACAAAAGAACAAAACAATACCACATATAACTATTCATGTGGCAATACTTTTTTTTTTTAAATATGCTATATTTTTTTTTAAATATGCTATCTTGAGCAACTATCATAAGATCTGCTGATAAACTAATGAAGTTACTAAAAGTCATACTCAATAGTTAATGAATTATGAAACTAATAATCATCACAAAACAAAAAACTATAGGCCTCTTAGTATATCACACAAATATAACCAAGTTATGAATTTCACTAATGTCAATTTCTGCTTTGAAGCCCACATATTTTACAAAAAATAATGACACAGAACTATACTTACAGGGTGAAAAAACTTGTTTTTACATCAATTTCAACTCCAAGTTATCCTAAAGTTTCTGAGGCTGTAAATCGTTACAGGAGCAAGCAGCCTCATCTTTCTCCTGTGGAGTGGCTGGTAGTTTGAACTGCTGACCTTGTAGGTAGTAGTCCACACTTAACCCAAAGCACTACCAGGATGCCTAGCTATACCTACAGCATATATTCTGATCTCAAAACTTAAAATGATTCAAAATGAAAAACAAGGCTTCTGATTTCCTCCTTCAGCATGTCCACATATTCTCAAGATGAATGACATACAGCTGTAGACTGTCACAGAGAATCCTATACCTATAGTCTCAAAATCCAAAAATATTGTTCAAAGATTATACTATATACTGACCTCTTTTTCTGAAAATTCCACATTTACATCATTCTTCTGAACATTTTTTATCATAAGTGTAATGATTACTTGAGATTCTGTTTGATACCAGTCATACCTATTTAAACAAAAGGAAGAAACTTAAAACAGTTGTTCCTTTAATGTTCATCATGATAAAAACTAGTCAGATAAACAAGAGCTCCACTTTGAGGAACAAAATGGTAAGGCAGCTAGCCGTTCATTCTCAGAAACAATTATACGTAACCAATTTTCTAGGCCTATACTAATGGAGCCACTATACTAGTGGGTGGAGTTTTCAACCCACAGAGCAAGTAAAGTGCTTTTGTGCAGGAGGCTGACTCGGAGAGTGGGGCGCCTCTGGGCACTTAACTGGGAAGCGGGGCTTGCTGACCCATGGAAGTGGAGCACCTATGGGCATTTAATTCAGGGACCCTGAGCTGAGTGAGTTCAGGTTGAAGCTTCCAGCCAAGTTATATGCACCCTGGGCATTGACTAGCAGACAGACGTGAAAGGACTTTGTAAGATGTCCTCATAAATAACTGTCTTGAGTATTTCTCGATGGCGTTACAATCTGTTAAGTTCCTTAATAAACTCTTCAATCATGATTTTGTCTGTGGGTTCTCTGTAGCCACTACAATGGATATTAGAACCCTAAGAGGTAAAACAGAAAATACTTGTGAAAACAACAGAGTCCTATTGCATCACTATGAGCCAGAATCATCTCAATGGCAGTGAGTTTGGATTGGTGCTTAAGCTAATATTAAAAGTAAAATTTATTCAAAACACTGAACAATTACTGTGGTTTTTTACACTCTCATTTCAACCTAATATCAAGGTAAGGTAAACACTACTATCCCTATTTTACAGATGAGAAAGCAAGCTCAGAAAGGGGAAGCTAAGTCCCAGAGCCAATCAGTGGTAGTAAACACTGGACCCAGACCAGCCTGATCCCACACACCAAGTTCAAAACTCACTGCCATCTAGCTCAATTTCATCTCACAGCGCAACACTATCTAGAGTTTCCAAGGCTATAAATCTTTACAGGAGAAGATAGCTTGATCTTTCTCCCTCAGCAAAGCTAGTGAGTGTGAACCAACATCCTTGAGGTTAGCAGTAGACCAGAGCTCCTTCTCTTAATCAAGTTGGGTGTGAAGAGCACCACACATAGGTAACAGAGGCAAAGAGAGCTCCAATTAAAACACTGGATAATTCAAAGCATACCTCACTATGCAGACACAACACCTTTATACAGTCTCAAGGTGGGAGGAAAGCCTAGAGTCCAGAGAATCTAGTTATGAGTACTTTTCTCCCTGAAAGAGTTCTCATTTTCAAATTAGACTAGACTTCATGCTCAACTCTGGTGGCACAGTGGGTTACACGTTGGACTACGATAACCTCCAAGTCAACAGCTGGAACCTTCCACGAGCTCCGAGGGACAAAGATGAACGTCCTACTCCAGTAGTGGAGGACTATGAGTATCTTACCACTATCGTAGTTCCAGTGCCAAACACAAGTACAGGACACGGTGATTCAACAAATACTGGGTTATTTGATGCTCGAAATACCAGAATTATGGTTCCATTTTTACGTGCACTTCTACCAAACAGGTCAATTTTGTCTACTATATACTTGAGTGACATTACATACCACCCGAGAACTGAAATGAACAAGCCGTTTTAACATTTTAAGTTATTTAGGCGATTATGTCAAAAAGCTCCTTAACTAAAGCGGCTCACTGAAGAGGCAAAGCTCCCGCTCAGGTCACCTCATGGTTTTCCTTTTATAAACCTAAGGTTACATCT